CCTGCTGAGTACAGGATGGAGAATCCAGAAGTGTCCTGCTTTGTGGGTTGGATCCCACCCCCCCAGTTTGGGGTTTTGTTTTGATTTTTTTTTTTTGTTATTAGGGTTTGTTGTTTTGTTTTGGATTTTATTGTTAAATAATGTCCATGCAAAAAAAAATTAACTAGTTTGGAATAACTATGGTAATGCTACTTATTGAAATGCTAATCTGTTCATCGTTAAGCTTCACAAAGAAAAGCATAGGGATGCGTTTGGTAAAAAGGAACAGACCAAACACGAACACTTCCCAAGTTCTGTTCTCAAGTAATGGTGGAGAGTTTAGTTAGTGCACTTATAGCCATACTAAACAGTGTTATCCAAACGGAATCCAAGTGCATATCCTTGCAGGGTAAACATGTATTTACAGATCGTCTGTGGGGACAGTGACTTAAACTAACTTTAGACCTCTATGTGAGACAGCACATTCATGTTCAAACACACTCAAGGTCAGAGCAGTGTAATGGCTTCATTTCTGTTCATGTCAAATGAGTATGGTACATGACACAGAGGGAGTAAGTGCAGAAGACATTGCTCTGCCATCCTGCAACCAGTCACCACACCAAGGAAGCAGTTAATGCTCTACGAAGAAACTGGCTTTATGAAGACCTGTTGGGATTTTAATGCATTATAGTCTTGTCTCATTTATCCTGGTGTCCCTCAAGCTACGATTTTACAATTTCTAAGAGACATTTAAAAGAGACCTCAGTATTTCTTCGTTGTGCATAACTACATTTAATCAGTAGTTATGATTTTTATGCCCAATTAGAATATAGCTACAGATTAACACCAAACTTAAACTAACCAGAACTTGTGAATCAAGAAACTGGGTTTCTTTTCCACAAGTTTTGTCTCAAAATGTAAGGAGCTGTTGTGCGTATGCTGATATTATTTTCTAGGGTAAAACATTACAACTGTTACTAAACAGCTTTTGTAGTAAGATTAAGTTATGCTATAGGTCCTTGGCAAATCTCATTCTTGAACAAATGAGCTGCTGTGGTTTTAATTATCTTTTCAATATATAGCATACAGCTATCTTTAAAAATAAAACTAAAGAGACGTAATGAAGTAGGCACCTAATCCTAAAGGCACACAGCATTACTGTACAACACTGAGTATCCTGGAGAGGAAGTTGCCTGACAAAACTATTATCAGTAAATGGTCTGTTCTACTAAGCAGTTTCTATGTTTACCATTTCTCATGTGAAAATTTCAACCTAATGTAATATACTTTAAAATATGGCAAACATTTAGTACATGCCTGTAAATACTTATGGCACTGAAACACATTTATAGCATGAATGACATTCTTCAGTCATTGTTGCCTTAAGAATGGTCCCCAGTTCTACTCTGAGCAGAATTTAACGACATCTGACACTTATACCCTAAAAAGCTTCTTTGCTAGTATGTTTTTACTTACAATATCTGAGCTGCTTTGCGGAGCTTAAAAACCAGCATTCCCCAGTAAAATCAGACCTCCTTGAGGTCGAAGTATGTATCTTCCACAACTGATTTCAGAGGAACAAGAAACCATAACTAAAAACCAAAACCAAATATTCTGTCTGATAAGACAGGACTCTAATACTAAATTTTTATACACATTTGGTCAACAGGATTTATTATAGATCACAAAGATTTTTCTATCTATGCAAAACATCCATCTTAATGATTAATGACTTACTCTGGAGGGCAAGGCTCAGTGTTGCAGGCTCTTTGGTTTTCTGGAGGCTTACTGTCAGGGTCACAGTAATTGTTTTGTACAATGGAGTTGTCATCCAACCTTTTACACACCACCTCTTGTTTCTGCACACCTTGGGATGAAATGAAACACCTTTAGTTAATCATTCTTGCTCTTCTACTTGTGTAAACTCCAAAGTCGATTTCATCTATTGAATATTAACCCTACCATCCCACTTTAACTGGCTGAATGCTGCAGGGGTGTGAATTCCAATTGCCTGAATTGCCCCCTGACCACAATAAATCTTTCATTTTCCTTAAATTTTAGGCCACCCCTAAGACAAAGGATTTAAAACTGCTGTTGTTTTCCAAAACAAAGGGAATATATTTATAGATTTATTAACAGATTGGTTTTATTTGTATATTGCACAAAATCAATTTTCTGTCTACCCTCCTCTCCTAATAAAAGAAACTTAAATTTCCGAAGAAAACATCAACAAATAGAATGTGGTCACACTTCAATGCAGAATTATTGTTTATGTGCTCCGGTTTAAAATAACCCAGCAATACTGGGAAACAGTGTTGCATTTTTATACATGTTATTCTATAAACATTTTCTGCATTAAAATAGTAGAACTATTACTCATTCTGAAAGATGCAGCTTGTTTCTGTGAACACTCATTTTGTCTGGCACTCCCAGCTCTTACTTTGCTGTTAACCATCAACAAGGCAGTTCAGACCTGATTATTATTCCCAAAACATAACAACCTATCAATGCCAAGGCAACATCATAAGGTAGAACATAGAGAATTTTTTTATTTTTAAACAACAGGATCTGAAGAAAAGGCATTAAAGTACCACTGATATGACAATAGTGCAGCTCAGAGTAATGTTGTAAAAAGTATGACCTCCTCCTCTCTTTTTAAAACAAGCCGTATTACGTTTGCTAGCATAAAGACTGTGGATCTGCAGTTCATATGCAGGTCTTACGGAACGTGAGTAGTCACAATACTGAAGTAATATGCTTATTTGTATGATAAAAGTTGCAAGAATCCCTGATCCTTTCTTAAAAATAGAAGCAATTACTTAACTTTTTGCAGCATGTGAAATGCATACAATTAAACAGGGATTAAAACATCCTGGCTTCAAATATCTGCCAACTTTATTTTACAGCCCTCTCTTCATTTTAAGACAAGCTTTTTATAGGAGATAGACGTGCAGTAATAAAAAATAATAATGTAAGTACATTTTTCAGACACTAAACATTCCACTAAAAACATGGAATTTCTTTCACCAGGTATTTGTAGTCCTTTTGCTCATTTTAAGCAAGCTAAACAACTTACTTTGCAATGCTCCTTTTGTTATTCATTATGGAAAGAATAAAATTTCCTACTTTGGTTCCTAAAATGTGACCTCTATGAAATGCAGGTATTTAATTCCAACAGTGAGTCAAGCTTAGCCTTCAGATCCCTGAAGTTTGGCCCACAAAGCATCCTGCTTGGCTATAAACAGAAGTCTCCCAGTCTATACACAAATTAAATGTCTTCATGATGTAATGTGTGAAGGACATTGTTCCCAATGGTCATGAGTCTTGAGGGTGGCATGCACTCCCCCAGAAGGCTGCACATGCAGGAGTAGGTACGAACCCTACTCACCCTGAAGGGATTCCTAATTCTCATGAGTATGCCATAAATTGTGAGACATGGTGGTAATTTAGCTAAGGCAGCAAGACTGTGGTTTCTAGCCCACACATTATTTCTAGTTTTTTATTTAATTAGAGTCTGATATAAAACCTCCTGTCTGTTGTCTAAACCTGTCTGTAAATGTCTAAGCCACCTTGAAGACAAGGATGAAAATTCATACCTGCCTGTGCTAGACCAGTGACTTATTTTCTGGTTGCAGATCAAACCCGTTGTCTTCCTGCCATCAGCTCCTCCTGAATATTGCATCCCTATCTACACTGTAGCCCCTAATGTGTATTTAAAATATCTTTGTTTTCCCTGCCCTCTTAGACCTCTCAACTTTCTATGGCACACAGTTAAGAGTACTTTTCTGTAGCTGCAGTCCCAGCTGAAACCTCTTCTCTCTGCAATAGCAAATTGCTACTATCATGGCATCGCACAAAACATGTGTGTTTTCCCTCACGTAAAGACAACGCCTTATTAATTCAAATACTCTCAGGGAAACCCAGCAGTCTGGATTCTAAGCACATAAAAATGTTCCACATGCCCTTAACTCATAATGCTGACACTCCTGACAAGCAGGAGGGAAATTAGATTCATCGCTCTTACATTTCTTACAGGATGCCTGTTTAGCAGGTGACAACTTTGCATCAGCCCTCAAAATCACCTGCCTCCTCACCTCACTTCAAAATCACTAACCATATTGAGACCAAAGATGCTTAATGCTGGAGGCTTCACTATACTGCAGCACCTAAAGCCGAAGTCTGGAGCTTTGCTGCTGGGATATGTTCTTTTTCATTACAGCTACAGGTAACCTTTACAAAGTAAGCACTTTAAATCAAGTTGTAAATAATTTCACACATCTGACATCTCAGGTTAACCATAAACATCACAGTCATTTTAAATTAAGATTTATTTATGAAAAAAGATATTAACATGAGACACATCTTGCAGGTGAGCCAGGTAAACCAATCAGGTTCTTCCTACAGGTATCTGGATAACAAATAAGGCAACAGTAGGTACCACCAAACAGCACAGAAGGCTGCCAGACTGTTTTCCAAGTGTATCCTACATCCACAAATCTACATGAGCAAGGTATAAAAAAACCCAACCATTTTTGAATACTATTCAACCTCCATTTTTTCGCTAACTTTCAATGTATGTGCTTTACATGTTAGAAAAAAATAGTTTTGCTAGATAGTTAGGCCCAGCTGGAATTGAGAAACAACTCAAATCATTAGCATGGGCGACCCGTAAGGGCCTGAAGTACATGCCTCCACAGTTGTTGGCTGATTATGTTAACATACAGATGTTCTCTTTCAGGTATTCATCTATCAGATACCAAAGATTTGAGAGCTTCACAACAAGATGTTCAATTTATAGCATTCTCAGCACGTAATAAATCAATTACATGAAATGATATAAAGCTGAAATTCAGTATGATCTTGCACTGTAAGGGCAATTAAATAACCTTGGAACAAAGGAGTTTGGAACATACATCTAGAAGCAATGCCTTTCTGTTGTTGGGAATCACTCTATGTAACCACTTTCATAAACTGCTCAAGGTCCACTTCAATCCCAAATACATTTTTCTTCTCTGAACTTCTCATATCTGACTACTAAAAGCATTTCAATTTCCATTCTAGATGTATTAATTGCCAATTTAGGGGTTTTTTTTTAATTAAAAACATTCTTTCAGTTTAAGTTAACTTTATTGTGCTAACCAAGTCAACTCTTGCAGTCTCTGTGTTGTTAGGTGGACCATTCCTTTGATCAGCCTCCTTTGATCAGCCTCACAACACTTCCACAAACCTGCTCACACCTGAGTTTACTGCAGCCACAATAGAGTTCAGTTAAAGTAACTTTATTGTGCTAACCAAGTCAACTCTTGCAGTCTCTGTGTTGTTAAGTAGACCATTCCTTTGATCAGCCTCCCATGATCAGCCTCCCAACACTTCCACAAACCTTCTCACACCTGAGTTTACTACAGCCACAATAGAAACTGTGCCCAGTACTCCAAAGCGATTTTACTAGTGACTTACGCAGTGTCATTTATACTTTTAAATAAATATATCCTAAAATCAAACCTGCCTTTATCAGGGTTACAACAGATCCCAGTCTTCCTATGTCTTCTAACACTGCACTGTCAGCAAATTTCTACTTTTTATGCTGTCCTATTTGTCACTTATTTCTACATCTTTATACTTCTTCAAAACTTCAAATCCATTAGTTTTCTCTCTCTAAATACATATACATACACACAAACACACAGACCGACAAATTATTTTCTTTGGTTCTGTACTCCTTTAGTACTATTTTAGTAAAGACATCAACTGCAGTATGAGAAAAATGTTGGGCGTATCTCTTTGGTTCTTAACAGGTAAGTGGAAGATCTAAGTATTTGAGAAGCTGTGAAAAGATTATTTCACTTCAAATTCTATAATCAATGCAAACACTGCCAACAGATAAAAATTATTAAAATCAGATACGACAACCCGAGTAGGAGTATTTCTTTTGCAATTTTCTAAGCAAACATCACTATGACAAGAAACAGTATTTTAAAGGTCTAGCCAAACAGCAGTGCTACTAACATGGTGCTGCTAGCTGATACAGAATTTATGTTCAGTTCAACTGGTGAATAATCATTTATCCTTTCTATCACAAGCTGCCTTAATTCTCTTGGTGGCTTAATAGAACAGACTGAATGCTGCCTTCATAATGGTATTTCTGTCAAATATAACTGCTTAAAGATAATGTATACATAGTTTAGAATTAGGCATTTTAATAATGCATACCATTCTCGTGAAGACATTTATGGGATAGCATAGATATTAATGTAATGTTTTGACTGAATCTCCTGCTGGCATCAGACACATTTCCTTCTAGGCTTTGGCTAAAAATTGGCAGCCTCAGTAAATTAATTTCTGAGGAGCTATGTAATAAGAAAGTATTCTGAAGTATTATGAACACAAAGTACCATATTTTTCAAAAAAATTAAGTCATATGTGTTATTTATTGAATCTGCCAGGTAGCATATCATCCGTAAGACAGTATCCATCACTAATCACCCACACAGTGAAGAACTTTTAATCCATGTTAGGAGACATACTAATCCTGTTTTAAAATATTCTTCAGCATCTTGCCACACAGTATGTATACTTTGCATGTTTCCACACTAATTACAGTGTTATTTAAAATAAAATCTCAGAAACAAAACTCAGATTCTCACTTAGACAAGAAAAAGAAACGTTAAAAGCCAGAAGTGCAGCTTTTACCCAGACAACAGCTACAACTTGGTTAAGCCCCATGGGCCTTGAAAAAACTCTTTTTAAATAATCAACTCTTCCATGAGTATATGGTGTCTCTTAAAATAATCTAAAAAGCACTGCTAAACAAGTTCATTTAAACTCCTGGGGGACTAATTACAAGCAGTTAGACCAAAACATTCTCCT